ATTTAGATAATAGGAATTTGTTATTTGTATTTTGAAATTCGGAAAATGATAAACCGGAATTTTTAGAAATATTAATTAGGAAAATAATATTTTGAAATTATTTTTAAATTGTAATTCAAGCGTTATTATTATTATTATTATTGTTATTGGGGAATTAGAATAGAGAAATGTATGTATGTATGTATGTATGTATTTATTTAATATGCCAAGGCAATTAGCCGAATGGCAAAGGTTTGTACATAGTTTTATAAATTTTTACTTAAAATTTAATACAAAGTAATAAACTTAGGTGTAGGTGTACATCAAAATCTTATTTATAAAATAACAATTATAATTTTATTTTAGATTTAACTTTAGTTTTAATTTTAGATTAAATTTGATTTAATAAGTAACAATGTAATATTTATTCTAATCCACGTATTTAACAATATAATGGTAGTTGCTTTGACTAGTAAGTAACAATAGTTTGTAAGAGTATTTGAATATATACAGAAGCCAACGTGAAGGTAATTTACTGAAAGTCAAGTTCCAAGAAATAGTCATAGATCTTTGTTTTAAACACTTCTAGACTGCTTGCATTCGCAATTTCTGCAGGTAAATTTTGCCACAAACGTATTGTAGTTACTACAAATGAATTTTCAAGATAATTTGTAGAAAAATTTGGCAATTCAAAATTTACATTATTTGTTTTTATAGCTAATCTTTCAGAACGTCTAGCTTCATCTTCAACAAATAATTCCCTAAGGTAACTAGGTTTTCCTGTTTGCAATAGTTTATAATAATAAGTGATTAAATAATATAGACGTCTTGACTTCACAGATAACCAATTTAATTTACGTCTGTATGGAGTAATATGTTCATCTCTCTTTAGATTATAAATAAATCGTATTGAACTATTTAATGCTCGCTGTAATTTTAGATTATTGTCAGCTGTGGCATCAATAAGCACTACAGTACAATAATCAATAAGAGGAAGAATAGTTGCAGTGACTAGAAGTTTTCTGATAGCAGTAGTATAAATATTTTTCCGACTTTTTAATGTATAGAGAACAGCATTTACTTTTCTAACAGTTTGTGAAACATAATTTTTCCATAAGAGATCATTGTTTAACGATAAGCCCAGACATTTTGTTTGGCTTACATACGGTAAAGGAACATTGTTGATAATAATGGGTGGTAGCGAGTCAATGTTTAATGATTTTAGTTTACTGTTTGACCCTATTATCAAAGATTTTGTTTTATTTAAGTTTACCTGTAATCCATGATCTATAGCCCAATCAGCAATCCCCTATACATCAATTGTTACTAATCTAATTGCTTCGATTACTGAAGTAGGTTTAAAGTGATAATATATATATTTGTCGTCGGCAAACAGACCATATTTACAGTGAGTAATTTGTCGTACTACCAGATTTATAACTATTAAAAACAATATAGGCCCTAGGACTGAACCTTGGGGTACGCCCGATGTTATATCAAGGAACTCTAATGGGTGGTTTTGATCGTTTAATATTGATTGTGAGCGATTTGACAAGTAAGAGAGAAACCAAGTCACAGTTTCAATCGAAAAACCTAGTTCAAATAACGCTACTAATATCACCTTCGGGTTGACATAATCAAAAGCCTTGCTAAAGTCAAATAATACCAGCAGAGTTAATTCACCTCTATCTATTGCACATCTGATATCCTCAGTGAGCTTAAGAAGGGCTGATTGAATACTATGGAACTTTCTGAATCCAGATTGATATTTGTCAAGCAGATTATTTTCTTCTAAGTATTCAACTACTTGATTTGCTATAATACGTTCGAATACTTTGCTTAAGTGCGATAAATTTGCAATTGGACGCGTATCAGACGGAGACTTTGGTGGACTAACTTTGCTTAGCGGTATAATAAAAACCATTTTCCAAATATCTGGGAAGATACCTGACTCAAGTGAACGATTAAACAGAGAAGTTAAGAATAGAGATATTTGTGGTATATGATCACGTAACCAACTCAGATTTAAGCCATCAGGACTTTTCCCTTTTGTCTTTTGAAGTGTTAGATGTAGAGCTTTTGTTACATCAACAATATCTATTTGGTGCCATTTAAAGGAGCATTCAACTTTTTTGTGATATAGGGAAGATAATGAATTTACAAAGTGAATATCACAAGGTGGATGTTTCCTTACTATATTAGCATAGTGCTCATTTAAAAGACTCGCATCAAAGTAATTCAGGGGTGAAGTTTGTTTTGTCTTTATTAATCCTAGGCGTTTGAGTTTATTCCAAATTGTTTTACCAGGTGATACAGTAGTTAGTTGACTTTTTAAATAGCTTTCACGAGCATTATTTAATTCTAATTTTAGTTTCTTTCTCATATCCTTATAAAGAGCAAGTAAATCTTGATTTTTAGTTCTTTTTGCTCTCTTATAGAGAGAATCACGCTCATGACATTTATATTTAAGTTCTTTGGTAATCCAGGAGTTTGAATTTCCAGTCACTTTAATGGTAATTTCAGGGGCATATTTGTTTAATATCTCTAAAACTCGACTTAAAAATAGATCAAGCAATTTGTTTGGATCAGAATTTTTTATAATGATATCATCAAGTTTTAAGGCAATAACTAAGGCATTTGCTAAAGCACCATGATCACAATTTTTGTAATTTCTAAAAGTTATAAATTTATCTAGTAGTTTAGGACAGTTTAGATGATATTCACAATACAGATAGTCATGACCTACTATAAAGGGAGATGTTGACTTATGAAAGGTACCTAATTTACTAATATTGTCTACTAGGATTACATCCAGCCATGAATCGCCATGTCCACTGTGATGCGTAGTATTATAAAGTATACAATATAGGGATGATTCATAAATGAATGTCTTTAGATGATTTGCTGTCCAAGTGTTATCTAATAGATTACAGTTTAGGTCTCCTGCTATAATTACATTTGTAAAATTTGTTGAATATTTCATGAAGGTATTGAAAAATTCATGCAGCGTATGGCCATTTGGACGTCTGTAGACACCAGCTAGTAACATATGCGAACCACAGGTCAACATAAGATCTAACATTATATATTCAGGTGAATTTATGTCATCAGAGACAGAAGAGTACAGTAATTTAGCTTTAATTGTTTTATGGATGTAGCAAGCTACACCCCCACCCTGTACATAACGACCCGTGGCTGGATGTATCAGATTTATGTCTCTTCTAAATAAAGAATAATCGTTAAAAGTGAGTAGATCATTATTAATGCTAGGTTTTAGCCAGGTTTCCACTAAAACAATGATAGGAGGATTTTTTTCAACAATTTGCTGAGTTAATTGAGATATATGGCCAACAATACTATTTATATTAAAACTTAATACCCTTAGAGACGTAAATTTATCATTGGTAACATTTATTAAATCTTTTTTATGTTAATCTAAATTTTCTAAATCTAAATCAGATCTGATAATAATACGTTCAACTTCATCAGTTTTCCTTACAAAAATTAAACCATTTCGTACCCAAACATATTTGTAATTTAGAGATGTTGCTTTAGCTTTAGTCTTGAAAAGTAATTTATAAGTATCGGAATTTAGAAATTCATTAACGTGAATCAGACCTCTGAATGTTTTCTCAACCAAAGTTGGGAAAACATCCTTTGTATTTACTGTTTTTAAATGTTTTTTGGCACTAATTATGAAATCGCGAACTTCAGTAGATTTTAATTTTATTAAGTAAGAAGAATTTTTATTCTGGGGCTTATCATTCGCACTATTTGGTTTATTATTATTTTCGAATTTGCGGATTGATAAAATATCACTTTTTAAATTATGAACCTTCAGTGTATTAAAGACAGTTTCGGTGATATCCAATGGAGATAAGCTAACAGTCTTGAGCTTTGATAGTTCATCAATAAACAGCTTTGAATCAGCTGCTGTTTTTGACTTATGTGTATTTAATTCTTCTCTGAGTTCCGAGATACTGGCAGTATTTGAAGAAACATTTAGCTGCAGTGAATCCAATCGTTTATCGATCAAGTCTAATTTCTCAGTTATCAAATGATTAGAAGTAAGAAAAAAGTTCATCATCGAAGTTAGTTTTTCATCCGTATTTTGTGTCTCCCAGTTTTCTGGAAGACTTTGGAGAGCTGCCTTAGACACTATTGAATCTAAGGACATGTTTGAATCAGTGAGAGCGATTGATAAAGTAGACTGCGTTATCGGTGATTGTAGCGGTGAAGTAACAGATTTAGTACTAGATGTAGATGAACTTCTAGTGAGATGCTTATTTTTCAATCCTGAATCTTTGCCTTTAGTTGTTGAGGTCTTTGCGGTATTGGTTCCTAGATGTAATGTGAGAGGAGATTTCAGACTTGTTGATGAAGTTTTTTGTGTATTTGCTTATTTGTTGGTGACTGCTTTATTACTAGCTGGAGAAATTATTTGGTTTTTTGTTTGTTTATCGGAGATTGACTTGCTACGAGTCTTTATCTCACCAGTACTCAATAAATGTTTGAGATTTGTAGCACAACAGTGATATAATGACTTGATTTTCATACAATTTCGCAAACAGTCTAAGTGATAAATCCGTTGACAAGAAGGACAAACAGCTGGAGTATTTGTTGGTTTTTTACAGGCAATCCATAAGTCCGACATCAGTGATATAATAAGATGATACTATTACTAAGTGTATTTAAAGTTTGTATAGGTAATAAACAGACGCAGCTCAGAGTAAACAAAGTTTCTATAGCAATAAGCTGTATAGTAATAAGCTGTGCCTGAGCACACATATGCCAGTCGCTGTGCCCGTAATTCAAATTGAGTTTATACACTACACATACACATACACTATTTTATGTGACTCGATGTACGCCTGCGTAAACACTAGATTGCGCGTGGAATACTGCGCGGGTGAACAAGAATTTCACAGCCTAACCTTCAAAGTTTATCCACTAATAAAATCGAATTTATTAAATTACTTTGAGATTTATCAGATATTCAACCAATTACAAATTACAACCCATGTTGTTACACTAGGAATGAAGTGATAGTACAAATTTAACCCTCAATGTTAATCAAGAAATTTTATGAAAATAGACAGAGCCACAATACAGTACGTGTGTACACCTATCACTCACACAAAATTGTTTCCAGTACTTGAAAAAAACATTTCCTGCGATAAGTAAAGCAAAATAAAAAGAAGGAATTTTTGATGGACCCCAAATTTGAACTCTATTTCAGGATGCAAATTTTACAGGGAAAATGAACGAGATTGAGATAGCAGCTTGGGTAAGTTTCAAAAATGTGTCTCAAAACTTTTTAGGAAATAAAAAAAGCGAAAACTACAGGACGTTAGTAGAAGAATTGGTGATAAATTTCAAAAATTTAGGCTGCTTAATGAACCTCAAACTACACTTCATGGATTCTCACATTGACCAGTTTCCTAAAAATCTTGGAGACTACAGTGAAGAACAGGGAGAACGATTCCATCAAGACATAAGTGAAATGGAGACTAGATATCAAGGAATGTGGAACATTAATATGATGGCAAATTTTTGCTGGACACTTAAAAGGGCTACACTAAGAGATAATAACAAACGGAAGAAAAATCTACTGCGTAGATCGTTTGAGAGCAAAAGAGTTCGATACCAACGAAGAAAAGTTTGAAATTCGAGAAAATCGTTCTCTTTATACTAGTTATTCGTCATTTTTTATAGATATTACAATTTTTTATGTTTTCAAATTCTAAACTTGTATTTAATCATGTTTTATAGATTTTTTTTTCATATTTGTAATTGCAATTTTCCCGATTTTTTTGGTTTTTTGAAATTTTTTAAAATTTTAAACCGTTAACGGGGCAATAAAACTTCATATTTAAACTCAACGGAACAAAACACATGAAAATCATTCTCAATCTGAGTCCAAAAAAAATTGTTATGTCGAAAACTTCATTTTTTCCATGATTTATTGTCTTTTTGAGGTTTTTCGTTTTTTTTTTTTCAAATTTGGACGGCTCACCGGGCTAATTAACCTTTAGATTTAGATTCAGTAATTCGAAATACACCAAAATCATACGTGATCCGGGTCCACAAAAATTTTTTCATTTTACACAGGTTTTTTGCATTTTACTCAAAACAGGAGGGTGACCGGACCAAACGGACTCGAAATTCGGATTCAGCGGGTCGAATAACATGTTGGTAGGTCCGGTCGAAAGTACATTCCACTTTTTTTTTTGTGTCCGGTGTAATCAATTAATTTGGATAAAACAAATGATTAATTTTTACACCTGAAAAAAATCGACAAGTGTCTTCTTACGGATTTTTGTCAAGCGTCGGTGGAGATTTTCAGGTCATAAGTAATCCGAGTACCCAAGGTCATAATTAACAGACTAACGAATATTCAAGCGTCTATTTTAAGAATGCATACATTTGTTAATTTTTATATTGGAATTATTTTTACGTTTGATAATTTTTACATTTCAGTTCTTATTGCGAGTTTTATTGTTGCTACGACGCATTATGTTATAATGGTTGATTAATCAACCATGTGTGAAATTATTTATGATAATTCATTTAAGTTGAGATAATTTAGAATTTAATTCTTAAGATTAGTTTTGAGTTTAATTAATTCTGCGAAATTATTTTATTGAGTTAAACTTAAGTTCAGGAATTTGTCAGTCGAATTTTGTCGTTAAAATTTATTAAGAATTTATATATAATTAATTAATTATCAGAGTTGAATATTGAGTTCAGAATTATTATGGAATTAGTTTATTAGTTTGAAATTATTGTGTAATTTATTATAATCTGATGACTGAATATTTAGTTGAAGTTTCGATGTTGAAATAAATTGTTTTAAAATATAAAGTCAATCAAGTAAATTTAGTTATGCGTGTAAAGATTGGTCCGGGTTATGCGTGTGAGCTGCCGAGGTATCTGGGCCTACGTTGTAGTCACCAGGCTGTTACTTCTGTTAGCTGTTTGTTAATAACGACCCTTCGCACCTTGCAGTCTTTGTGCGAGGCTGATTAGTACGAATTTGGTATAGTGTTAAGTTGGTTATTAAATTAAAATTAACGATCTTAACTAACGAAATTAGCAGAGTAATTAGTACAGTTTTTGGTCAAGTTGTTAAGTGGGAGATAATGTTAAGTTGTTTATAGTGTGTGTGACGGGTGGGCCTACCCTCCCGTCAACATTATGATAAATCATATATATATTTTATAAATCGATGGGCCAACTTGCCCACCTAAATTAGACACCGAATTTCCGTTGTCCTTCTAGACTGACTCTGGTTACCGAGAGTCGCTACTTGCACGTGGTGCTGATGAGACACTTTCTCATGGGAACCGAGCGAACGGGTACTCTCATACAGGGAACCGCTTTCGGCGCATTAATACCTTTTTCTGCTGATTAAGGAACTTGACAATAACCAC